CCGTGGCACACTCAGGAGAGTGCGGCGCTGGGAGCGCAGGAGCGCTCCTGCCGCGGGTTTGTATCCTATATAGGGATGGCCGGTGCACTCACAGCACTCACTGGCTGAGTGCGGTGTGGCCGGTCTCAAAAAGGACAAAAAAAAAAAAGATTGGGATGGTTTTAATTAGGGCCTGAACTTGTCAATCGCATACATGTTGATAAGTGTTAAGCTCAGTGTAAAAGCCGTACATGTGTGCAGATATTTCTTCAAAATCAGAGATTTTGGGGAGTCCCTTTGGAAACTCTGATATTCTTACATACCTCAACTGGAATGAGAATTCTTGATTATTGCATGTGGTTTTTGACATAGATAGTTAAAAGACATAGGTAGTTAAACAAAGGTAGGTCATCTTTTCTACCAGTGTTGGCTTTCTCTTTAGGCCTCCTGCATTTGGTGTCTTCTTCAAAAGGTAGCTTAGTTTATTGCAGGAGATGTTTAAGACATAGTTGGTATCTTAGATAATAAACGTGGTAGTGGTGAGTGATTCTCAGCTCTAGCCATATATTAGAATTATTGGGGGAGCTTTTAAATTAAATTGATGTTCAGGGCCCCCACTCCAGACCAATTAAATTAATCTCTGGTTGGGGCTGGGGCATTGGCATTTTTTAAGGCTTCTGGAGTGATTCTTATATACGCTGGGGTTGAGAACTCAGTGGGTTAGCTGTCTGACTGATGGTCTCAGTCCCAAATCAGGTTCAAATCTTGCCTTTTGTAGATTACAATATCATTTGAATTATAAGTTCTTAGTGTTTAGTGATATAGAAACTATTTAACTTTTTTGGATAAAAGCTAAAAATAAAAAAAATAGAGGCAGACATTCAGATAGAGAGAAGCCATTTGGAAGACATTTGGTGTTGAGCTACACCCAGCTGGCATGAGACTATCAGTAGAATGTTGTCACCTGAGTATAGGAGGGGAGACTGTTAACAAAATCGGTGACAGGCCCTGAGCAACAGGAACCTGAGGCAGCTGTTGCCTCTCTGCCTTTTTCTTCTCAATCCCTCCTCCATGTCTCCTTCCAAAACAAAATCTTGAGTGCACCAGAAATGTAAGATTTGATCTAATGATCATAATCCAATTACTCATAGAATTAATTCTCTACTCTGAATATTAAAAGGGCCTATGCCAGGCACTGTGCTAAGGACTGCCTGCATTAGCTCAGGGGTCATCTCTCCAACCTGCGAGGACTGGTGCACTCAGGGGTTAAGTACCTTGCCTGAGTTCACATAGCTGGTAATGGAGTGGGAAGTGTGGTTCTCAACTTTGGCTGCACAGGGAAATCACCTGGAGAACTTTCAAAAATACTGATGGCTGAGTTCTGCCCAAAAGAATTCTGACTTAACTGGGCACTGGGATTTTTTGAAAGCTCCCCAGGTGATTCTCTTGTGCAGCCAAAGTTAAGAACCACTGCTATTAGAGCCTGGGCTATAAATTACTGACTTTATTACTCAGAGAAGAGCTGATCCAGGCTTGGTTTTTTGCAGCTGGGATCAACTGGAGGGATGCGAGTCAGGAGCTCGTTGCATGGGTCCAGTGTGAACTCATCCCATTCTATTCATGGGCCTTGGAAATTGGGAAATGAATCTGGGAGTGATTTTAATGCACTGTGCAAAGTTAACCAGGGGCCATTTGTCTTTTTAAATATATAGATATTTACATAAATTTTTGTTAATTTCAAAAATTGACCAATAATAATTATATATTTATGTACATGATGTTTTGAAATATGTATATGGTGTGGAATGGCTACATTGAGCTAATTAACATATGCATTCCCTTGCATACTGTATTGCTAGGGCTAGGGCTCACACACCCCTCAAGCTCGTTGTATAGACTGGGTCACAAACCCTTCACACGCAGGTCTGTGAGCCAGGTAATAGGAAAAGATCCTGGGAGCTGTAGGTAAAAAATTATTAGGCTTGGGGCCGGCCCGGTGGCGCACTGCTACAGTGCGCCGCTTGGGAGTGCGGCGGCGCTCCCGCCGAGGGTTCGGATCCCACATACAGACCGGTTCCCGCTCACTGGCTGAGCGAGGTGTGGGTGCAGCGCTGAGGGTTGCGATCCCGTTGCCGGTCCCGGTCCGGTACGGGTGCGACACTGAGAGTTGCGATCCGTTGCCGGACACGAAAAAAAGACAAAAAAAAAAAAAAAATTATTAGGCTTTATTGAGAGCTTGGAGCAGCTGCCCTACTGGCCTCCTGGAGTGTCCCAAGAAGCACCATGTATCAGAGCCATTAGTCTTTTATACTTAGGTCCATAACCCAAGACACCTGGGTGCTTATATGCAATTACATTAGATAGTAACCAAGGAACACCTGGGTGCACATGGATTTTTACTGCAAATGCTTGGCAAGATTCTGAACATTTTCCTATATTTTCTCAACACATACTTACCATTTTTTGTGGTGAGAACGCTTACAATCTACTCTCTTAGCAGTTTTCAAGTATGTGTTATATTGTCATTAACTGTAGTCACATGTTGTAGATCTTCTGAGCTTATTCCTCCTATTGAACTGTAATTTTGTATCCTTTGACCACCATTTGCCCAATTCCCCATCCCTACCTCCTGGTGAAACCCATTCTACTCTCAGCTTTTATGAGTTCAACTTTTTTAGATTTCATTTATAAGTGAGACCATAAGGTGTTTGTCTTTCTGTGCCTGGCGTATTTCACTTAGCATAATGTCCTCCAGGTTCATCCATGTTGTTGCGAATGAACCCGTGGCTATTTGAAAACAGCCCTAGAATGTTAACTAGAACCATAGCAGGGGAAGTCAGAGGAGATACATATTTTACTGGCACCAGGGTAAAAGTGCCTGGTGCTTGCATGTATATCTGCTGGCTGATTTGAAGGGACTGTTTTGAAATAAAATCGACAGTCTGATAGAGGCCATTTGGAAGGAACCAAACTCCTTTTATGACCTGGCCTCATTCCACAGGTGGTCACATGACGGTGACTTGATTTGTTGACTGCCTTTCTCCATAAATTAAAAATAAAGGTTTCCAGTTTTTTTGTGAGCCGCTTAGTACTTGTGGGAAAACTAGGTTCAAAACAAGCTTAGCTGCAGGCTTTGTGAATGTAGGTCAAAACTTCCTAAATTCCACGTGCTAAACCAGAGGCCCCCTGCACATAGGTGAGGGACCCAGGATGATCTGCTTTTGCAAGCTGCTGCAGAGTGCAGGAAAAGAGCTCCTCCACCTTGGAACTTGGGCAGCAAGTGTTTAAAATATTCCAAAGCATGCCTTCAACTGGAGCAGCACACTTAAAAAATTTTTTTTCTAAACTGAAGAAAAAGATCTCTCTTTTGGAAGGGATTGCTGACTTTCCAAATATAAGTATATTTTGAAGCTGAAGTCATTTTGATGTTTAGAAATTGTGCATAGGGCAGTTGGGCAATTTGGAGGCATTTCTAGTCCGTTTCCTTGCGGTGCTGTTGATTGCGTCCTGGAGTTTAACAAACACATATGGAAAAGAGAGACACTGGCAGGCAGCCTCATGGGATGGTGGAGTCTTTATCTGAGCAATCAGCAGAGCTGCATGTAGTCATTTGGATCTGTTCTTGATTCCATTGTTTCCCTGCCAAGTTATCTCCTGTATCAGTGACCATCATAACCTGTCTTAAGTAAATGGAAATCAAAGGCCTATTTATGCGATATTCCCCATGGCTTCTGACTTTGGATTTTTAATTTTGTGAGCTCCTCTTGAGATCTGCAACCCTCGTGGTTAATAACGTAGGTTCTCGGATCAGGCTTCCTGGGGTTCAAATCCAAGTTTCACTAATTCTTAGCTTTGTGACCCTGCGCAGATTCCTTAACC